AGAGCCCAGATAGTTACAATTTAAAAGTGTGTTCTCATTCCCTATATCTTCCTCCCCTCCTCCACTGCAGGCCCAGACAGGCAATGGCAAAGTCAGTAGTTTAGAGTGGATGCTCACTGTGACTGTGAGTCTGGAAGAGAGAATGAAAAATAAATCTAGTACTTGCTGATCCAGCTAATATGAAAGTCAAGGAAATTAGCAAAGCTCCTTGAGAAATGTCACAGCATTCCACTATCAGAGGGAACCACTCCACATTGGATTTAAGGGCTAGGAGCAAAAGGTTTCAAGACACCGAATGTCATTAAAAACAAACAAACAAACCAACCGCAGTTTATTTGAGCTATTTATTCATTAACAGAAGAATCTCTTCCTTTATGTTTGACAGCTAGGGAAGTATGCTGTCAACAGCAACAAGAAAGTATCTGAAAAACAACTTTTTTTCTATACAAGGTATATTCATTCACTTGTATAAAAATTCTGAAGGTAAGCAAGTGAAAAATAATCATGTGATTTCCAGTATGTTTGGTTTGGTCTACAGGAAAGAAACCAAAAAGCATCCTGAAATAGTAAAGTAAATTTTATTATTCATGGAAAAAACACACCAACATACATAATGAGATACATAACTCCAAGAGATGATGGAGTTGTGAACACAACTTGGTGGAGTTTGTGATCCTCAGGGCAGTGAGGAGGGTGCAGAACAAACTCACTGTCCTGGACTTCAGGAGAGCAGAATTTGCTCTCTTCAAGGACCTACTCAATAGAGTCTTATGGGAAAGAGCCCTGGAGGGCAGAGGGCCCCAAGAATGCTGGCTGATATTCAAGGATCATTTTCTCCAAGCTAAGGAGAGATGCGTCCTGACAAGGAGGAAATCAGGTAAAAATGCCAGGAGGCCATCATTGATCTATAAGGAGCTGCTGAGTGAACTCAGAGCAAAAAAAAGGTTTCAGAATGTGCAAATGAGGACAGACTGCCTTGGAGGAATACAGGGAAATTGTATGGGAATCCTGGGATAAGGCTGGGATGGCCAAGGCCCAGTTAAAATTGAGTATGGCAAGGGACACCAAGGATGACAGGAAGGGCTTCTGTAAGATATGTTACAAATATAAGAAATACTAGGAATAATGTGGGTCCTCTCCAGAAGGAAACAGGAGAGCTGGCTACCATGGATGAAGAGAAGGCTGAGGCTTTCAATGACTTCTATGCCTCAGTCATCAATGGCATGCACTCCAGCCATGCTGCCCAAGTTGAGAAAGGCAAATGCAGGTACTGGGAGAACAAAGACACTAAGCCCACTGCAGGACAGGATAAGATTTGAGACTAGCTAAGGAACTCGAATATGCTGAAGTCCATGGAACCCAATGAGATGCATCTGCAGGTCCTGAGAGAGCTGCCAAACAAAGTTACTAAATCACTATCCAGCATTTTTTAAAAATCGTGGCAGTCAGGTGAAGTCTCTGATAACTGGAAAAAGGGAAATATAACCCTCATTTTTAAAAAGTGGAAAGTGGAGGACCCAGAGAATTACACACCAGTCAGTCTCACCTCTGTGCTAGGCAAGATAATGGAGCGGATTCTCGTGAAAACTGTGCTAAGACACATGGAAAACAAAGATGTGATTGGTAACAGCCATCATGGCTTTACAAAGGGGAAATCATGCCTGAAAAATCTGGTGACCTTCTCAGACAGGGCTACAGCACTGGTAGATGGGGCAGAGCAACTGACATCATCTACCCAGACTTATGCAAAGCATTTGACACTGTCCTGCATGGCACCCTGGTCTCTAAGTTGGAGAGAGGTGGACTTGATGGATGGACCACTTGGTGGATAAAAACTGGCTGGATGGTCAACACACAAAGAGTTGTGGTCAGGTGATCATTGTCCATGTGGAGACCAGTGATGGGTGGTGTCTGTCAGAGGCTGGTGCTGAGGCCAGTACTCTGGGATCGAGGGCACCCTCAGCAAGCTCACTGATGACACCAAGCTGTGGGGTGCAGTTGGCATGCTGGAGGGAAGGGATGCCATGCAGAGGGACCTTGACAGGCTTGAGAGGTGGGCCTGTGTGAACCTCACAAAATTCAAAAAAGCAAAGTGTAAAGTCCTACACTTGAGTCATGGCAATCTCAGGCACACCTACAGGCTGGGCAGAGAAGTGATTGAGAGCAGCCCTGCAGAGAAGGACTTGGTGGTGATGGTTCATGAGAAACTCAATATGAGCTGGCAGTGTGTGCTCACAGCCCAAAAAGCCAAGCAGTGTGGGCAACAGGTTGAAGGAGGTGATTCTCCCCCTCTACTCTGCTCTTGTGATACCCCACCCAGAGTACTGCATACAATTCTGGTGTCTCCAACAAAAGAAGGACATGAACTGTTGGAGCAAGTCCAGAGGAGGGTCACAAAGTTGATAAGTGGACTGGAGCAACTCTCCTATAACGACAGGCTGAAAAGGTTGGGGCTGCTCAGCCTGGAGAAGAGAAGGTTGTGTGGAGACCTCATAGCAACATTCCAGTTTCTGAAGGGGGCTTACAGGGAGGCTGGAGATGGACTCTTCATCACGAACTGTAATGATAGGACAAGGAGGAAAGGGTACAAACCGAAAGAGGAGAAAATCAGGCTGAATATTAGAAAGAAAGTCTTTACTGTGAGGGTGATGAGATATTGTAACAGGTTGCCCAGGGAGGCTGTGGATGCACCAACCTTGTCAGTGTTCAAGGCCAGGTTAGATAAGGCCTTGAAGCAACCTGATCTAGTGGGAGGTGTCCCTGCCCATGGCGGGGGAGTTGGGACTAGATGATTTTAAGGTCCCCTCCAACTCTTAACATTCTATGATTCTATGATTCTATAAGTCATGAAGAACTAATCTAAACACACAACACATCAGAACTTCCTGATCCAAACAGAAGAAAACAAGAACATATAGTTCATTCTTTATTTTAATTGTTAGGCAGTCATTTTACTTGGTTAAATCACATGGTCATGATTCTACTCAGTCAATGTTCTCATCAAAAAAAATAATGGCATTGCTGGTGTTATTGGTACTTCTGCTGTATTGTTGTATGTATTAGAATAATAGAAAAATGTTGATGTCTGGTTCAGATTGCAGCTAAAAACTCAGTTTGTCAATCCATAAGCCTACATATTTTATCAAGTTTTCCTGGTAATAGCTCATCGGTTGAGAGTGAATAGGTATTACAGTCAGTTTTCAAGAGTGACAGGGTAAATAAATTTCACCAATCTGAATCACAGGCAAGTCAGCAGATGGATTAATTTGGTTATTTATAATTCTACTTCAAAATATCATGCAATCCTGATCACCAGGTTTGTTTGTTTCCTAAAATAAGTCTACATTCTTGTTGATGTCCATCAACAGTTCTAAAAATTAAAGTATGCCCTAAACTCTCTTAATGGCACTTGTGAGCAACATTTTTTGTGAAGCAATGAAAGTGTAGAACACATCTTCAGATGTAAACAATTGCCATGCATTTATTTCTTTTCTGTATAGTTCTGTTGGCTTTGGATGTAAGAATAAACTTTTCTTTCAGCAGAGTCCCACAGGCATGATTATTACAGGATTTACTGCCTCATATGAATCACTGAAACAGCACTTAAGAAGGAATTCTGAAATGAAGATTGTAGTACAAATAATATAGTTGCTGGATACTCCATCCCAACTGAGGATGTTGAGAAGTTATGTTTTCTTGTTTGGTTAGGGTTCTTTTTCTTGTTTGTCTGGGGGTTTTGTTGGATTTTCTTTGTTTGTTTGGTTGGTTGGTTGTTTCTTTTTAACCTCAAGAAATGTAAATAAGCAACTGACATAATATAATAAGAAAATCAAATGCTTTAAAATTAGAATTTGAAGCTGCACAGCCAATGAATCAAATAATTATTTTTCACAATTGTAGGGCAGATCAATTGAATTTGGTCTGATTTTCAGCATAGGTGTGACTAAAATCTTCAATTTAAACCTGCACCTAAGATTTGCTTGATCTGAAATCTGATTTGTGGATAATAAGAAAATAAGTCATAAAATAATAACTCATTTGTGGTTAAGCTCTCAGAAGGAAATTGTAAATGCGAGTTATGGAAAAGAAGTCAGTAGAAGGAAGAAAGTGGGGAAAACCCCACAAAATCCAAAAGGAATTTACATTTTTTAACACTCAATTTCAGAGTATAAATAAACTTCAGACAATACCAATACTAATCAGAAAATTCTTTGATGGACAGAATTACAGATTCATTACATTCACCACTTCCTTCCTCCCCTAATCTTGGCATGAACTACAGGAAAGATACCTTAGAAGAGATCTGTCCTTCAATTAATGTATATTGATTATTTGCTTAAGTCAAGATATATACTCAAGATAAGATGCAGCTGAAACACGACAATTTCACTAGTTAAAAGCATTTTATGCCATATTAGATTTCAGTAGCATTAGGAAGAGTTTATGAATTCTTTATTTTTACCCTTTTTGGTGAGGTCATTTTTTGAGTAAACTACTACAGAATATGGATCATACTGACAGAATGCAGCATGGCAATTATTTTCATTTCTGCTGATATGTGTTGTTAGCCATTCATTAGCATATCATTTAATTATGCTGAGACCTGCTGACATGATTGGAAGTTCGGTGTTGTTTCTGTAGGCCAGCTATTCCCTGTGTTGGAGATTACTTTCAGTAATCCTTTTTTTGCTTTATTTTCATTGTTGAAATTTGCCACTTCAGCTATTTGGTGTAAGCAAGCACAGAGGGAGATTACAATTGGTTTTTCAAGTGCAGAACAGACTTATTTGCAAGATTAAGTACTTGATTATCCAATAATGTTAACATAAGATATTTTACTCAGCAAATTAGTGTATTCTAGTACCTGACAATAATGACTTCTTTTATTTCCCTTGCTTTTCAGATGATGCACAACTCTAATTGTGACAACATTAGTATGTACCCTGTATTCCCTCAGATACAAAAGGAAAAAAATACTGAATGCTAAGAAAAAAACTTACCTGACCGTCCATCCCGCTGAAAATCCACATGGTACCATTCACCATCATTCACCTTCTTCTGCAAGGCTTTTATTTTTATAGTACCTGATCCCATGTCTAACAGCAGGTAGAGGTGGCCATCAAGCATCTCGATGGCAAAAAAATCAACCTTCACCATCTGTGGATGTTTGGCATCTTTTTGGTGCCTTGGTTTCCCATGACTGAAAAGAATTAGGCCATTTGGCTCAGTTGTACGAAAATCAAATGATATTGAGCCTGTTTTCTTGGCATTCCACTTTGGCAAAGAGATGAATGACTCTGGTGTTTCAAATGTGATTGGATCTAAGGTTGCAACATTCTCACATTTAAAAGCTACAACCCCATGAATCTTCATTTTGGGATCTCCTTGCTTGGCAAGTCGAGATAACTCCAACCTGACGTCATTATTTTTATATACAACCTGCAAGCAAAGCAGAGAAGTTACTCAAAGAAACCTGACCATTTTAACCAAACAGATATAATCCTGAACAGGCACATTATTTAAAGGATAATAATGATGATATATGAATATGATAAGTTACATACACACAAAACTAATAAGTATTTTCATTGACTAATGATTTAATAATTGTTTTCATTAAACCAAACAAAGTTGCTCTAAAAATATCCCTAGAGTTAATTCTAACAATCTGAAAGAATCTACACATAATTTATACTATGAGTTGCAAATTAGCTTGTGTGGCCTTGATTACTTAAAAACCCTCTTTGCACAGCCACTCTGCTACAATAGAGAAGTATAGGATTTCTTCTTCCTCTAAAACCCTTTGTCACTGTCTTAACTCTTCTGTTCACGCACAGAAAATATACCAAGGTCAGATATCTCATAAATTAACATCTTTTCAGTTTGTCCTTGGGGCTGAGGAAAAACAGTGTTCATGGTATCCATGAAGCTATAAGATAGGCAAACTAGTGTCATACAGATCAAAACAGGCAAAACCAGGGAAATCTTTGAGCCAGTTCAATTGGACAAAAAATAAATCAACTTACATATTTTCCCTGACTGAAGACTTTTCTGATAAAAATGAAAGACAATATTAGTTTTAAATCCAATTGACCTCTGCAGCAAATATTCTTGCTTCAAATTACATTTTTACTTGCTCCAGAGAAGTCGGCCATGATAAAAACATTTCCCAGGGTTCTAGTCTTTATTAGTATATTCTGAAATTGCTGCTATTTCTGAGTTATCCAGAATACAAGGGCTCCTTAAATGAAGCTCCCTAATACCAAAGGAGTGCACAAGTATTTTGTCAATATTTTTAATTATTCAGTAAATGATACACTCAAGCTAAAATACCACTGAATGGCTGCTATGACCCCAGAGCGACAAAAGCTAAAACCTTCTCTGTTTCTAAGGTTAAGCCCTACATTAAAAAGCAATTTGAAGAAAAGGTAACAGCTCAGCAAAACCAAGCAGTTTGTGCTGAGGCTTCTTCATCTACAGATCTATACCATTCAGGACTAGATCATGTCTGGTCCCTGATCCAATATTCCAGCTATACAGTGTAGTTCGAAGCTGTTTAGGGGACCAATCACTGATTCAGACCTTACACCCCTATTAGTGGTTAGAAAGTGCTTACTGAACACTCAGGATAGAGCTTCTGGATTAATTTCCTCTGAGACCTAGTTTGAACTCAAATGAAACCCAGTCTGACACACAGAAGCAGAAGACACAGGGGATGCACTGCAGAACTGTGCTACTGTTAGAAATCAAAACACTACATACAGCCAATCTGAGATGGCATACCCCGTAAGTGATAGTTGCTCTCGAAAAATGGTGTTTAAAGATACTAGAACACTAAAGAAATGATTGATAGACTGACAATTTTTTACTGTAAGAATTGTGTTCTTTTTAATTATGTCATTATCCACGCTGCAAATTTCAGCATAAGACATGGCAGAATTATTCTCCTCCATTAAAATGTGTCCTAATAGCTAATAAATAAGCTTATTTCTTCATTTTATTACCGAGTTGAGTGCAAGTAATGCTGTTTCCATGGGAGCTGTGTCTCCAAAGACAACAGATAAACCTCACTGTGGATTGCTGACAGCAGAAATAATACTCTGCCACACAGAGGCAGATAATATGTTGCATTCTTCAACTGAAGACTTCAGAAGTGAATAGAATTGGACTAAATTTTAATATTAGAGAGTAAGGATACATATTTCCATTTATCAAATACATCCATAACACCTCAGATATCACAGATTGTGCAAGGCAATTTAGAAGAGTACTGGAGAATAAGCACACACAGGTGATCTCCCTTTGGTGTGACTTTTTGTCTTTAGAGTGAAGAAAGCCAAAAGGCAGCAGAATGAAGCAAGAAGTCAGCATAATAGTAGGTTTCTTAGAGATACCTGGTCTCACAAAACATTGGCCACTTTCTAGGGCAAAAGGGATTTTGGACAGCTTTCATTTAATTTCAAGAAGTTAGAGGGGACAACCTTTCTAGATTAGATTGAAAAGCATTAAATAGTAGCCAGAGGATATGACAAAACAAACCAAAAAAAAGGAACAAATGGGCTCTTATCAGAATTAAATCACATATGATGACAATGAAAGTAAATAAGGCAACAAAGAATATGAGAAAATCTTTTTTTAATTATCTACTAAACAAGAGTAGGTGCCAGGACAAGGCGAGTAAATGTACAAAGAAATTTTATTGTTTATGGACAAATCAAATTGTCTGATATTAATGAAAGCTGGTCGACTGAATATTAAAATTAGGAGTTAATAGCCATGTTAGAAAAACTGAGCAGGCTAAAGTCTGAAGTCATTTGCCAACTCATAAACAATAATTTGTAAGAAATGTTGTCTTTGAACAAGAACCTAATGGACAAAGTGCAAACAGGAATACTAGCAATTGCTTTCTCAATAACTTGTCACCAACTCTTCACGTAGCTTAATATATAGGAGAGAAAAATTGCTAGAACAATTTAGTAAGAGTGACAAATATTTTATGCCACCAATATCAAAACATTCTCGGAATCCCTAAATATTGCATATGACAATTTCTAACTTCCATATTCCACAACTGAAACTCCATAGCTACCAAGAAGCAAATGACTGCATATTATTACATTCATTGCGTGGAAACTAAATAAAGCCTATATCTAAGTTTTAGAGTGCTTATGTTCTATGTTTTAGAATGCTTATATTCCTTTAATCTTACTAAATGGAAAATTTGGAACTGAATTATCATGGATAATTAGTATTAAAAGAGGAATATATGAACCATAACTGAAAAGAACTGTAAACTATTAACTGAACACAGCTGGCATTTGGGAGCCCATTTCCTAGTGTTATGCTGAGATTCTTACCCCTCTCTCTGTTCATGAAAAATGTACTCAGCCATCAGTGAACCACAGCAAAAAGGAGGAAAACACTATGTTCACAGAAAGTACTCATCGTTAATTTGTGGAAAACAACTGAACAGTAAGGAATAATTCTGAGATGAATATCTGCTTTATAACTCATGAAGGTATATGCTGTAGAAGTAATAGCCTCTAGGGTATAAATAATTTACTCATCCAATCACTTTGCCTTTTTTTTTTTTTTCCCTCTGGGTACATAAGGACAAACATGTTTTTAATAGGGCTTATATTATCTACTATTACCATCTGAGGTGCACAACATATTGTTCTTTAGTATTAACTCAGTATATTCTCCCTCTGCTAGAGACATGGATCCACAGTTAGTCAAGTGAAGGTGATTTGGAATGGAGAAATATTTGAGTCCCATTGACCTTTACTCCCACACAACCTGCAGTCTCTATCCTTGCACTGGTATGTGCTTTACAAGCATCTATTTGGTTGACTCTGGTAATAACTTGCTTGCTCTTGCACTCACTTTCATACCTGAGCAACAATATAAGTTTCCTACATGTGAAGCTGCCAGTCCCCAGGGAACTGTGTTATGCTATTAAGAGCACCTTGAATTTGTTTTTTATTCACTGTATTCTTCTTAATATTAAGTAAGTTTCAAGACCTCAGTCTTTAAAATATATAGTTACCTCGCTTTTGGAAACTGCAAAAGGTCACCTAAACTTTCAAGAGAAATGGAGCCGTTAGCAATCTCCCCATAACTTGCGACCAAGCTATCCAAAGCAAGGAATAAATTTGGTTTCTAAGAGAGGGCAGAACTATATATCATTTTACAATCAAGATACAAGCTTCCTTTGCTACCATCTAGGCCAACCACATGCTGGGTAACTTGCAATATCACGGTGCTGAGTCTTAATAAATAAGTCCAGCTATGAGACAGCGAATATTACCTTAAGCTCAGCACTCTTTAACATGGTCTGCAGTCATCTTGGAGCATAACCTAAATTAATTCATGCTTCCCAAAGATATATCATGTATACAGTTTTTTGCAAGCCAGGGCCTTAGTATTCAATGAACTACAGAAGCATATCAAGTATTCACTACAGACCCTGACGGTGGTCATGGTTGGTGCCTTCACAACAAAAAATGTACCAGAGCAGCCAAAGAAAATACATTATTAAACCAGCAATATATAAATTTATGAATGACCTTGAGAAAAGGTGAAGGAAAAGAGAAGAAATTCATATTAGGGACATATTCTAAATATACAAACATTCAATTATCAAGTTTAAAAATAAAAATAAATTAAAAAAATAATAAACAGAACCCTAGCAGTTCTTTCTACTGACCCTATCTCATGAGATTGAAAACCACAAAAGATGTGAAAGAATTCTGATTTCAACACCATTTTCATTTCAATGTGCAGCCCTTTCCACATCAAACACTGTGAGTGAAGAAAGGCATTACCCTCAAATATTTCAGAATACTGATCAACTCTGCCAGCAACAGCTTTTCCATCACTGTGATAAAAATCCTTTAAATTACTATGAAGCATTTTTTTCAAATTACTACTTATTATTAAAACCAAAAATGATCCTCAAGGAGCTAATCACATCCCCTGATTTGCAGCATCATAGAGAATCCAGGAGTTCAGAGCACCTACCATTATGATCTTGCTCCAAAGAGCTTGCCTGTTTACTTAACAGGGAGGTGAGGAAAAATGCTTCTTTAAATGTGAATGAGTGGATAAATCTAGTATCAAAATCTGTTAAAAACTGGATCATATAAATTTTTATCTCACCATAAAGCAGTATTTTAGTATTTTTATATTTTTACAAAACCTGGATTACCTAGTGCAAACAATGACAGTTAATTCTCTAAAATGGAGATTAGTATCATCCAAAATGGCTCAGGTAGGTGCTGCTACCCTACAGGTTTATGCTGCACAGTGGAGTCAGCAGGAGATAACTTGCTGATGTCAGAAAGTCTAACAGTGAGATTTACATTATGGGAAGCCTGAGGCAATTTTCATCAGCTTGCTTTAACAGCCACTAGAATTTCCACACTCGTTGAGAACTA